GGGCCTCCTTGATGCAGTTTTCTGTCAGCTTCATTTCCCTGAGGTCGGCCATAGTGACGGGGCGGTCTGAGTCTCCGAAGATGCCGTCCAGTTCCTCGTGCACGCGGGCCTAAGGAGGAGTAGGGAAAGCAAAAACATATTTAGGACTGCAGTATATACATGGATTTTATGAAAGTAAAATCTGTCTTAGTCTTAGTATCACACAATATATAATCATCTGAATGATAAGGAATATATCAGAATATCAAGCAGACGCAGCCAACGCCTCACCTGTATCTCGGGATGGCACCCGAGGAGGTACAGCGTCCAGTTGATGGCGGCGGCTGTCGTGTCGTGGCCCTCGAACATGAAGGTGTCCACCTCCTCGCGGATGTCCTCGTCGGTAAGCCGGGAGACGCCGTCGGAGTACTCCAGCAGCAGGTCAAGGAATGCAAGTCGTTTCTTTTTGCCTGAGTAGTTGGGAGAAAATCTTACTTCTATAAATATCTGCCTGTCTAACAATGCAAAACACACGTTCAGCTTTATTGTATATTAGATAATGGTATGCTTTTATGAACTAATACGTCGTAAGTACTTAATTAAAGCGTAAAAAATACAATTACAAATCTCAGTTACAACAGATCTGTTACCCATTGCTTCGTCCTCGGTGACCTCCTGGCCCTTGTTCTTCTTGCTCTCCTGGTACTCCTTGCGTCGGTTCCTGATGGTTTCGTAGGAGAAGTCGTGCAGGAGCTTGAGGCAGGCGTCGTGCTCCTTCTGGTAACCGGAGAGTTTGAACAGGATGTCTGGCTGCAGCCAGGGACGAGCCTGTCTGTGCTGCACGAGCGCTCCGATCCTGGGGGAGGACTTGCTTCAATGTCCGCAAAACTAGGATTGTATTTTTCTTTTTAAATGTAAAACTCTGGTGTTAGGAAGCATTTGCTTTGATATCGGAAAAAAACGAAATTTATTAGCATCAGATAATCATCAGATAAAGTATGACACGGATTTTGCTTTACTAACCGGTACACAGCCTTTACATAATCTGATTCGCTGTTGTCTTGAGCGCCAATCTTACATCCCATGGCGGTCTCTGAAGAGACGGGAATAATTTACTTGCGTAAAAGTATGTTCATATAATCTAGTGACAGTTTTTCCCTCCTATTTTCATTGTTGAATCCAGATTGACACGATGAAGTACACATTAATTCTTATTTAAAAAGATAGATCTAATGATAGCTCTTTCAGTATGGATAGAGATGGATAGTGCCATTTATTCAAATGCTTATCAGCGTAAAAACTTAAGTAATCAAAGATTCTCTGCTTCCACTTCCTTGAGTTTCCGCAAGAGATTAGAAAACACCAACCGCATATGATGTCCAAGGTGCACAGAGTGATGTAAGGGAAGATGTCAAAGCACTCCCCACCAGCTTTCTTCTCCAACAGCTTCACCATTTTGATGCTCTGGTTATTGAAGATCTCCACGAAGTCCTCCAGGATCTTGAAGTGGAAGGCGGGCGTCAGGAGCTTCCTGCGGGAGTGCCACTTGGAGCCTGAGGAAGAAGGGACACCTTACCTTATGAGGGACCAGGACCTCACCTTTTCCTTCCCTCCTGCGTTGCACGGGGATGATTGGAAACGTCCTCCTTTGCAACATTACACAAAGTGCCTTACTTTAAAAAGTAAGGGATATAAGCCTAGGATACAAAAGGCAGTGGACAATAAATATTGCTGATACCTTAAATTTAGCTTTGACGTTTTCAGAAATGCAGATTTCCAGAAATGGCACATCAGCATATGAAAGCAGTTTTTAATTATTTTTTTAAGCCTATATTAATCATATGAAGTACACTGAAGGAGCAGCTTTGGCAGGTCCACGATTATATTATTAACATGTGCTTAGGACATTAAGTGACCTTAATCCAACAATAATTTACTCCTATCGTAAAATAACATACGTGTAGACATGAGTCTAACTATTAGGTGTCTGAGTATGTGGCTGCATCTGTGTTCTTCTGTGTAAGTGGCATAAAATATCACCCACCTGTGGAAGTGAGAAGGCCCGTGCCCAGCCAAGGATGCAGGAACGTATAGTCACGACTTTTGTCCAGGTGCTTCTGGCTGCTAAGGATCACCTGGGCGGGAAGAGACATTCCATTTGTAATATTGAAATATCCTTCAATTTCCGTGTTGGTTGTCGGATAACTCATTCATAAATTGGTTTGGGAATTGAATTCAGTTTTATATTATCCAGATCATGGTGAATTATTGCAATATACTTTTAATAAGGTGAATATAAAACATGTTTAGCACAGACTCTACAAAAGAGAAACAAGGAAAAGAAAAAAACAGTATAAAGCAATCAAACAACATGCACAAAACTATCGAAATAATGCACAGAAATGTAATCAACTCTAAGAAATACACAGAATACAGAAATAAGTCCCGAGGTATAACTCAGTGTCACACAGTGCAAGAGAGCATGAACTTAATTCTAGAGAAGGGAAACAGGCGATAAGCATTACTAAAAACAAAAACAAAATAGACATTTATAAACACCAAGCACAGCTTCTGTTTTTCTGGTTTCATTACTTTTTTTTTTCTCTTACTATACACAAACACACCCACACACTCACACACAAATACAAATACGCGTACGTATATGTATAACTGTATATGTATAAATGTCAGCATGTATTTATATGTATACTTGCACATATGAGCAGTGTGCTGTAAAGCAAAATGCTGTCCTTCGAAGCAATGTTAATGTTAATCATGACAGCTGTACTTACCCAGATATCCTATAGCCATACAGCTGTCAATGAGTTAATGATGCGACCAAGCTCATGCCAGTGCATGATAGTCTTCTAAATTCCCACGGATTCATGACAATAGGTTCCATGCTTATGGCCTTGCCTGGCAAACCTACAGCACCAATGGGCCCAGTTATACATGATGCTTCATCTAGGCCTACATTATCTGGCCTTGATGCTTCATTCACGTAACTGATATTCAAGCTTTTCAAAGCCTTGGCCAGGGAAGAATACGGTCCAAACGCATCAAGAACCAAAGGAGAAAAGGGCCTTAATATTGGTTTGTTTTTTTTGACTTTGTACTTGTTGAGGATGCTTTAACTTTGAAGAAAATCCCAGGCCTTAGTATGTTTGGTATTCTTTTGAAATGGGAGGGAGATAACATTCATTAAAAAAAATAAATGAATGATAATGATCGATTCCCTATACGTTTATTTTTTTAATTATTACTATCATTATCATTTTTATTTGCTGTTGCTTTTGTTATTCGTAGGATTAGGCTATACATATGTATAGACACCCAAGCAAGTATGGCTATAAGCACAACCACAAACACACACCACATATATATATATATACATATAATAAAAAGTTATTATAATGGTCTCAATCAGTACCAGTAAAAGCGTCCAATATTAAAGAAAACATGAAATTCGTCAAGAATTCGTGCTTGACCCCGAAAGGACGAAACGAGGCGCAGACGACGAGACGCCAAACGCCATCCAAACTAAACACTAAAAAGCAGTTGAATAAACACATGAATTGACAAATAAATAGAATAAAAGCTAATTCAATGAATGAATAAACTAAATATATACATAAACATACATAAGAAATAAGCATTCTAGATATCGGAATTATAAATCAAAACAATCTGCCTTGAAGTGACTCTAATAAAGCAAATAATGTAAAAAGAAAAAAATCCCGCGCGTGCATTTGTTTATCTGAGCGCCACCATCCTTTCGGGGTTAAACAGATAGATGCTCGTCTTCTATTTCGTGTAATGACGCTGCATTACCTTTTAAGGCTATTCATCATACACTATTTTGCTGATATTAACTATGATGCCGCACGCGGACCGGTTAGGTTGCTCATCATACACTATTAGGGTATTCATCATACACTATTTTGTTGATATTAACTATTGCTGTTCATCTCCCGTTGCAACCAAACATCCAAATCAAGGGCAAGGACATTTCCAAAGGCTAAACCTCCCCGGACCAACAGGCGGCGCTACCTCGATCTGGGGCGCGTGCGCGAGGAACACGAAGGGCCGAGGACCCAGCCAGAAGCGTGCGAAGGAGGGCCGCCACGTCCACACATGACCTAAGCCCATGATCCGTTGGAACATCTCTATAAGTGCACACGGGGGTTAGTCTTCAAGGAGATTCGTGATCTTTTCGCTTTTCTCTCTCAGCACACGAGTGCACACCCACACACACAAACGCACACACGCACACGCGCACGCACACACACCACACACACACACACCACACACAACACACACACACACACACACACACACACACGAATGGACAATGTACGGTCTCTATAAAGAGGTGCCTCATACACACATGTACAGACACTCAAACCCACGGATGTAAACAAAATCCGATGTGGACACACATGCACGCAAAGTTGACCAAGAGCCGTCTTTTCCAGCGCGACAGGACTCGGGTGGGCGGAGTTTAGGCTTGGGAGGAGCCATGCATAACCCTTGCAATGGGCTAAGGCTTGGCAATGGGATGGCTAGGAAACTCAATGCACCTCTGTTATCATAATGCTTATATCATGATAAAAGAGAGAGCTTAGTTGCTTATATATAAAAAAATCACTTTAAATTCCTAAAGCTTCAACTGCTGTTTACTGCAGTCGGAGCTTCTGCTCATCGAATGTAAATCAAGGAAATATTGGTTTAGATTCATATTCTATGGCCGAAAGGAATGTCTAAGCATACGCGAGGATATTACAGTCAGTTTCGAGTGTTTTTGACTCAAAAGTGTTTTGACAAAAAAAAAAAAAAAAAAAAAAAAAAAAAAAAAAAAAAAAAAAATAAATGGTAAAGATCAACGAATCAGGATAACTTGAAATGATGCGAACATTGAATTATTAGAATCCACGCGAAGCTGCGCTCAAGAGGCGAATGGCGATACCTTGTTACAACTTACATGTACGCATACATGCATGTATGTATACATATAAGTATAT